GATGCCATACCATTGTCATTTAGTAGCCAACAGCGTTTAGTTCAAGCATGCTTAGGTTGCATCACTGCCACTAAATGTTGGTAACTTTCACATTTTTAAGTTTTTCTTCTTACATCTTACATATATATCCCTACTATTCATTGGGGGCTCTCGGTTGCCAACCTCCTTTGGGCCTTCAGCTCATTCAGTGCTTTTAAGCGCCAGTACGGAAGCACGGAATGAGCTGACTAGCCCCCAATTCATACGGCGGCAGGACACTATCTACATGGGCTTCCTGATCTTACACCAAGAACCGTCCATAGGGATGTCCGGGTCCACGACCCCAGGGCAACTAATCCCACCATTAGGTCCTCGCCGTCCTAACCGCGGGTCCACAACCTACAGGTTATCCTTCACCTCTAACATACCCAGGGTTGGCGACCCTCCGGCAACCGAAGTAGCCCCCTCAATTCTCCAAAGATGTTGTAAATAAACATATTTTTTACCTACATCATGTTTTGTTGTTTCTGCACAAAATGGTAATTTATTATTTTAGTTTGTGCAGGGACAAAGAAGTTTACGCAAGTCATATCGACAGGTTTCATTACCTACGTAGTCATATGCGTACTTCTGCATCCAGTCTACTATACCCTGTTATTTTCTCACCATAATTACACTCTTCACTAGCAAGTACATGCTTATGTCTTACATTTACCTACTGTCACTTCTTATATTTTCTTTTCACGTCACATCATTAGCCATGCTTTTCTGTTATGTATAAGGTTACCAGCTTCATATCCCACAATGCATCAATTTCTCAGCCACGCATGCTCAGTAAAGTTTCCGGTGACGTCATGCCTCGAGGCTATTTAACCCCAAAGATCTCGCTTTGTCTTTCTTGTAAATTCTATTGTCACGGCGTAATTCTCTCAAAATCTCTCCCACCATCCTCCCCTGCTTGCCGCCTTGTAGGGGGGGCTTCTTCGGTTGCCCCTTTCAGCTCCCATAGGCTAGGCCTTCAGCTCATTCAGTGCTTTTAAGCGCCAGTACGGAAGCACGGAATGAGCTGACTAGCCCCCAATTCATACGGCAGCAGGACACTATCTACATGGGCTTCCTGATCTTACACCAGGAACCGTCCATAGGGATGTCCGGGTCCACGACCCCAGGGCAACTAATCCCACCATTAGGTCCTCGACGTCCTAACCACGGGTCCACGACCTACAGGTTACTTCCCTTGCCTTCTAACCGCGGGTCCACGACCTACAGGTTATCCTTCACCTCTAACATACCCAGGGTTAGCGACCCTCCAGCAACCGAAGTAGCCCCCTCAATTCTCCAAAGATGTTGTAAATAAACATATTTTTTACCTACATCATGTTTTGTTGTTTCTGCACAAACTGATTATAAAAGTCCAGTTTCCACCCTTGCCGAACTAGGCTTGTATTATGGAGTAAATTGGCTGCACTAACGAATTATTGCAGAGTCCAATCAAAATCCTGCCAAGTAATCGAAATTCGGTTGATTTGTGGGATTTGTGAAGCATGTGCACCACTAACTCGATACTTTCATGTTTTTAATCAAGGTGCTCACCTAATTTGGTGCACTTCGCGATGTAAGACCCGTTTTATCACAATAAAGATACTGATTATCGATCAGATCGTCTTGACTTGGCACCGCCATTTTGTTTCAAGCAAATGCAAGTGATACGAGAGGTGGCATCTAATTGGTCCATTGGAGAGGCTTAGAATGGACATAACTCATAATAGCCACTGGTGGCGCCACAATAGAGCCCAGGAATTCCAGACTAGTTCGGCAAGGGTGGAAACTGGACTTTAAAGTCAGTTAACTCTCTTACCTCGGGAAGATGAGTTTGACCAGATATTATTGAGAATTTTTCATACCATATATATGGCCATGAAATTATGAAGAAAATATCGGACTGCATGCCGCTCAACGTGAAGTGCCAAAAGTCAAGAATGGCCGTTTCTGGTAGTTGTGTGCCGAGAAGTTTGGCCGAAACTTTTTTAACTCGCGATATTTTCTTTTTGAGGTAAATAAATGACTGAAAGTTTTGATATTGAGCAAACTGAGCATTTATGCATGTCATACGTAATTTAAATGTTACGCAAAGCCTTCTTGGTAAATAGATATGGCGAGTTTTATTTTGGGGTGTCGTTATGCTATTCGCCTGTCGAATGGGTTCGACATTAGATGCACGGGAAGTGACACCTCTGTCAAATGGGTTCGATGTTAGCGTGCAGAGCTTTAAGACACCAAAATTAATGTATATCTTTGAAATAATTCTAGGTAGATCTACAAAATCACATAACTATTTGGGTACCAAATCACTAGAAATTTTGGGTACAAAAGTCACCACTGTACATTTCAACTGGTTTTCGTAAATCAATGGGATAAAAAAATTTCGTCTGAATGATTCCTTTTCTCATTTTAAGACAAAAATTTGTTTTACATAACAAAACAGGCAGATCTACACGGATAATGTTTTGTCCTAAAAATATATAAAAATTTGAAAAATATGGAGACCTCAGAAATGAGGGCTTATAAAGTTATAATTCTACCTAACTTGTCACATGGTTTGAAAAGTCCTTATGAAAATCGTTTTTTATTTTTTTTTATGACACTGACATTTCTGGCACTTAGACAAAAAGTATTCAAGGAAAGACAGATATGTTTTTGAATGAAAACATGACTTTCCTTTATCATTCTTTTTTCATGATGACAGGGGAGCTTTTATACACACCAGCTGAGGAAGTTGTGATACTGTGATTGCATACAAAGGAAAAACAGGTTGGAAGCAGTACCTGTATGTATAAAATAGACCACATAAGGTGAACAAAAGAAATGGATTGGCTGACTGGAAAAAATACATCTGGCAAGGGTAAACATGTACACAGGCATGTTTCTTTTCATTCCAACCAGAAGACTGAGATAGCATTTTCTAAGAAACATATGGCTAGCTTACCAGCTTATGTGCCACCATGGTTCTTGTGATTAAAGAAACAAAAATGTCATGTACTGTTACAGGTACTGTTACTGTAATTAATGTATCATATTCCTATTAAATTATATTTCAGAATTGTTTTATTTGGAAACAAAACACATAATGCACAAGATTAATGTCAATATGAGTTTAGTACATGTATGTATATATGTTAAGGATCTGATTTATTCATTATTCAATGAATACTAAAATTAAAATGATGACATTAGAGAGTTACTTATTCACATAGTTGATTTTCAGAGTGAAAGATACTAACTGTTGAAAAAATATGTTTAAACTAAAGATAATAATTGAAGTTTGATCAGTTACACTGTGCTGATGCAAAGACCAATGTTTACTGTCCACACACACAATCATTGTGGGGAAAAAATAACTACTAAATATAACTTAAAATTTTAAAACCTGTAAACAGCTATAAATAATTAAACAATTACAAATCTATAATCAATACGCAATCATGGTGGTCTTCATATTTTTGGAATAAATTTAGAAATCCTTCGTGAAACTGTTCTAAAATCATGCTAGAATCTATGAATGTATTCCCGAAAGGAAAACTATCACAAATGTAATGTGGAACTAACACCAAAAATATGTACGTAGCATTTTATTGCTTATATATACCCTATCATATTCAGCAACGCGGGGATGTTATTTTGAAACAAGTTTTGTCAAGCCAATTTTCGCGCACCTGTTGTAGAGGGTGATCTTGCTGATCGACGATATCCATAGGCGTATTACGTGGGATACACTCGTTGTAGTGAAACTTATCAGCGTGTACATCGCAGAAATATGAATCATGTCCCATTTATATTCACCGTAACATTGAATGGTGATTCTTAAATATCAACAGAAGTTCAAATAAAAGATACCGAGATACTTGCATGTGGCATGTTGATTTATCGTCTACCGTTTCAGGGTCACGGGAGCATGTAAGGTCAAACGGATTAACTAATACGCGAATTATATCGTCAAAGTCACATTTTTATTTCATGTTAGTGGCGATTACTGATACTGTGTATGGACTTATGTTTTTGCTGTATGTGATAGGCGAACTATTTCAAAATTTACTGTAATTGTTTTGTTACGAAAGATTATCAGCAGACTACCCCTGTCTGTGACATCACATCCGGTGACCTTTGCACTTATTGAAATAGTGCTGTCAGAATTCATGATCTTTATTTTCGTTTTTCTCTTGTCATATAATTCGGAATATGACGAATAAAACATTCTTCGAAGGAGAAGATCATCAACTTTCGCCAAGTTATATTTATAAAGGCAATGTAAACTTTGTTGATATTAAAATAGCAATAAGTTATGCGGAGGTCGGGCGAAGCGCGCCATGTTTGATTTTAGGACGTCTGCTAGCATCATGACACGGTTGTTTATTTTTGTATATCGTAAATATTCAGCCAAAACGCTTGAAATTAGAATTAGTGAATATTTATAAGTCATTAATTGTTTCCTGCAAATTTTATAACATGACACGTCAGATTAACCCGAATATTCGTATTTCTGCAACTGACATGATGACCTCGAAAATTAAGTTATTTTTCTGTTTAGAACATTTACTAATTTTGTTTTCGCTTTGGTCTTATCCTTGGTATGATTGAAAACATCGGGATATTTTTATATAGTATTGTGTAGTTTTCTATCAGGAATAAATGTGCAAAATATTTCTTCAATTGGCCCTTGTTTAATGAGGCACCGACTGTTTGAAATCACCCACCCTCTTTAGAGCGCCTTATGCTAAAATTAATCCAGCAGGCAGGGGTAAGAAGTGTGAAAATAATTCAGCAGGCTAAAGGTTTATATTTTCAACAAAGCTCATAGAAGTTTAACATCTTGGATGGAAAGGATTTCTGAATCCAAATTATGATCAGGTACAAGCAAGGCACATGCAAGTAGAAGCTAATAATTGTCTGGGGTTAGAAAAATACATGCAAGGTAGCACATCAGACACTGAAACAACAGTATTATGTAAAATAAAGGGTTGTACCATGTTCGTTTGTGAGGTCTTGACAGTATTTCCTTTTTGTTGTGACTTTTCCTTAAAGTTACTGGAGTACTGAAAGAAAATTTTGTTTTTAAGTTAAAGGCATCAACTCAGTGAAACTAAACAAATGAAACTTAGAGTCTTAGAGCATCAGGAGCTGTTTACCAAGAGTGAAGACAATTGGCTTTGCTTGAAAATTATTACAGAAATACTCTTTAATTTGTGCTAAACTGCAGGTATGCATGCCACCTCATTTCTGACTACCTGAATACAGACTACTTCTCTCAATAATTGTTTAAATCCATACTTTTTTGTTGAAGTTATCATTCAGAAACCAATGGCCTATTCACTAAACTGTCTTAGCCAAGACATATCTTAGAGACTTGCAACAAAAGTTACGACTGCCATAAGAGCTCTTCTTGAAGCTGTCTTAAACCCATGAAAATATTATCTTACTTATGACACAAATCTCCTCAATGATAGTGAGCTCTTATGTGACAGAGGTAAAATAACCTTGAGGTTTCCCAATGATGTCATCTATTATACAGGGAATTCCCTTCATTGACATTTATAAATAGAAAATAATAATAGATATCTTAAGGATAAACAATTAAACCACAAATGGAGATAAATGGTGACGATATGATTATGCCGGAGTCGATTTTTTTACAAAGATGATTAGTATTGTAATTATCTAGAAAGTTTTGAAGAATAATATATGCCACTCGTATAAAAACGCATGTGTCCTTTAGACATGCTTACGTAATAACAATAAATCATAACAAAATATAGCTGGTACATTACTGTTGCACCTACATAAAGTTAAATACTCTGCAACATTGTTCTACAACGTACTACACCGCTTCAGCGTCATTAAGTTAAACCCAGGGTCAAGGGTGCGCGGTCACATCAACAAAAGGTATATTTCAAATAAAATTCTCATTTAAAATTCTTATCATTGTTGATTTGTTACAGATCAAATACTGGACAAACGAGAAAACTAGTAAATCCTAGATATTTTTACATTTATATATTTATCCTGCATTACTCCTTAATAGATTTACTGCTTGTTCTTGACAGAGAGAAAGAGCTTGTGAGAGGTCTTGTTGCTGAAGAAGTTGTTCCAACTGGTTGTGTGACCAACCCTATCACACAGCTCCCATGTGACCCCGAAAGTGGTGACAGCACATTACTGCTAAAGCAGCACATCTGAAGGCATAAAGAAGAGATAGCTCTGTGATTGGTGGGCCACTTTAGACAATGTAATGCAGGATAAGTATACAAATATAAAAAATATCTAGCATTTAACTAGATTATTTAACTTATCCTGCATTACTCCTTAATGCATCTGCATTGTACGATACGACGGAGGGTATACCTTCAGTTGTGATCTCCTGTGTCTCTACAGACTGCACCAATCAGCAACATCGAAGTCTGGCATCGAGCAACCATTCCTGTCAGCAGGGAGGGAGAGAGTCAGGTATGCGTGATGTCCAGGTATCGTTACAGTAAAAGTATTAAACAGAGTTAAAATCATCTAATACTGAAGTACCGAGGTAATGTGTGCATCATGTAACCATCCAGTCAAGGGTGACAAGCAACGGAGAGGTCAAAAGGTTGGCTCTGGACACGTGGATGCGTCAGTGGTGTCAGGCAACCACCAAAGGGCTGAAACTGCAGATGCTCCCCTTTTTCAAAGGCGACATCTCGCAGGTAGTGGCTGGCAAAGACGGTGTCTGAGCACCAGAAGCAGCCTTCCATGATGGCGTGTATGTAGCAGTTGCTATGTAGCACCATGGTGGAGGCAACCACCCGGATCTCATGTGGGTTGCTTGCTCTTGGAGGATCAAGTTCAATGGCCTCATAGGCCTGAAGGATGTAGGCGTGAAGCCACATGACGATCATGTTGTGGCTGACTTCTGCCTGAGATGTTGGAGATGTCGGTATTCAGAGGCGAAGACGTTTTGGAGCGTCTGATGAAACATCACAGTGCCCCTACCGGACATAGTAGGAGCTCTTGTTCGTCTTCAAATCTACTGTTGATCATGTCCGGTCAAAATTTAAGAATGTCCGGACAATACTTTTTAAAATGTCCGGTAAGCAATATTTTAAACCGGACATTTGAGATTCCCAATCGGACATGTCCGGCGCATATGACGGTTTCCGGACCCCTGGCTTAAAGCTCTTTGTAAATGGACCTGGGGTGAAGATGTAGCCTGTCTGATGCCAGTGTGGTAGTCTGCTGTGGGGGTGAGTCAGCAAGTTTGGCCAGCCTGGAAGTTTGATGGTGTTGGTGGAGGACATTTCTCTGAGGTCAACAAACCAGCTTCTCGACAGCCACCAAAACACTATCAAAGTCTATCAAAGGCTCCGGGTCAATCTGATCTTCTTAAGGACACTGGGAAGGAGCACTGGCAGGGTACGCTGAAAGTGTTGACTGCCCAGGCTTGCTGATCCAGCACCAGAGAGATGAAGGTCCAAACCTTGAAGTTCTGGCTGGTGGCAAACAGGTCAATGTTGGGATCGTCAAGGTGTTGACAGACAAGACCGAAGGCGTCCGGATGGAGTTTCCATTCTGTGGGGGCTACCCTGTCCGGTCTGGAGAGGACGTCTGCAAGAATGTTGCGACAACATTGAGCATCTGCTTCCAGTGAGATATAGGCCAGGATAAATGCCTCCAGTTCTAGGTTGTTGATATACCACTGCTGTTGAGCGGCAGACCACAGCCAAGGAGATTTGACCCTCCAGATGTGATCCCCAGCCTTGGAGGGAAGCATCTACGTCAGGTGTAATGACGTCGTAAGCTGTGTCAAGGAGACGCGTCCAAGACATTCGACTCCACCATCCAACCATTGTAGATGCGGCTTGAGGTCATCTGGGGCCTGATGAAGGGAGCAAGGAACATTTGCATAGGGCATAGTTGAAGCTTTCCTCTGGATGTCAGGTCCTGTGCTGATGTGGGAAGCCATTGGCAGAGAGTGCTGGGTTGTTGTAGAGCAGGGAGAAGGTGGTGTTGGATTCAAGGCCACCTGTCCCTGGGTACAGATAGGAGGTCTCGATCAGACTGAAGGCGGCCTACGATAAATTGGAGATTGTACGAGGGCGTGAGCTCTGATTTCTGGATGATCAAGCCCAACCGATGGAGGAGAGCTGAGTGAAGACCCTGTGGCAGATCAGCATGGCTGTGTCCTGTCGCAGTTGTGCCAATAGCTCGATCCCTAATGTCCAACCTACAGGGGTCTCGACAACTTGAAAGGCTTGGGGTAGGTGGTGCCAGTCATTGGCATCCATAGCATCAATACTTTGTCTTGTGGTCCCCACTCCCGCCATGGGAACGGAATGATGTGGTCTTCTATACCCTCTCTGGGGGACAATCATTTTACACTACTTCAATCCCCATCAAGGGTACAGCCACTTACAATCCAAGTTAACTAATTTCCTTCCACCAAGTCTAAAAAGATCATTTATTAATTACATAACGTATGTTTTAAAATTTATTTTAAAATTCTATTTCTTTTAAAAAACAAATAATTAAATGGGATTAATACAATTAAAAAGATGCTTGACAGATGACGATTTGAAATATTTATCCCTTGAAATGGCAAAATCAACACAGTCAAGCAGGACATGCTTGACCATGATTCTCTCATCAAAAAGGATACAAAATGGAGGATCCTCACCTTTCAATAAATATTCATGAGTGTATCTGGTGTAGCCAATACGACATCATCGCATTATGACCCCTTCAAATCTGGACTGACAACCCAAGTAGGTGTAACCGATATTTGGTTTAATTTGATGTAATTTATTGATACCTACTTGGGTGTCCCACTTCTTTTGCATTAGATCTCGGATATAGCATCTGATCACAGGTTTATCATCGCTGTATGGAATTAGAAGTGGTGTCACAGATTTGTTGAGTGCTTCTTTAGCTGCAGCATAGGCCATTGTGTTACCAACAATTCCAACATGGCTGGGTAACCAGTAAAAGACTATGTAGTATTGGCCTGTAGCAAGGTTATTATGTAATTCATTGATGTCGAGTAAAACTGAATGCTGACACAGGAAGACAGGACAGAGAGTCGGAAAAAATAATTGCTGATGTTTAGACTGTTTGATATATTCTAGAGCATTTAAAATAGCCTTTTATTCTGCTGTAAAATTGGAAAAGCTAACTGGTAATCTAGTTGATATAGTTTTGGATCCAATGACAGTGGTGCTGGCAACAGTGTCACTATCCTTGGATCCATGTGTAAATATTGATTTCTAAGTATCTCATGTATTTCTTAACTGATCATATTCTTGTTGGTACTGTTATTGATTTGTTTCTGATTTCTTTAGTTTGGTCAATGACAGGTCTACTTGTGGCTTTACCAATTGCCAAGAAGGAGAACACAGCAACTGGAAAGGAGATATAGTTTCAAGTTCAACGTTAGCAAGCGAAATAAAAGGTTTCATTCTTATTCCAAGAGGTAGAATAAGAGATGTCTTTTTACTATACAAATCCTCATAAAGGGGATTAAACACAAAACTGTAAGCAGGATTTGAATGTAACTTTGTGGTATACTGTAAAGATAGTTTAATACGAAGTTGTTTAAATGATGGCTCATTGGCCTCAACGTACAGACTGTCAATGGGAGAAGTTCTCAAAGATCCCAGACAAAGCCTTAGACCATGATGATGTATTGGATCGAGTAATTAAAGGTTACTTTTACAAGCTCCACCATAGATCATGGAGCCATAATCAAGTTTAGAACAGACAAGTGATCTATATCACTTGGAATTAGAAACAACTTTTAGTAAATCTAGTTGTTTCAGACATTTGGCTTTCAGATATTTAATATGTGGTAAGAAAGTAAGATGATGATAAAAAATTATTCCTAAAAATTTAACTTCTTTTAAAACTTTAATTGGAGTTACAGCTCACAGGCCCCTGAAGCAAGATAGTGATATTACTGAAACACCGGACCCATATATATAAATAGACAAGGTACGTCACTCGCCATCTTTGCCAAGGTTGAAATCACCTGTATCGTTTAAATTAAATGGAAATGTATGCATGTCATGTCATG